TAAAATTTTTAAACAAATCCAATCTACTATTATATGATAACCAAACCAATCTAACTTAAATCGAATCGGTTTAGTTCAGTCGGATTGATCAGTTTTTAACATTATTAAATCTATAAGATAATGTAAAAATATTTTAATATCAAATAGAAAGCATAACCATAAAACACATTGGCATGCAAATCAGTAAAAGCATAATAAAAAGTACAAATTCTAAACGAGTTCTTATACTCCTTTACATTTATAAAAATTGAAAAGATCTGAAAATTGTTCTTAGTTACATCAGTAGAGACACCAAGAACAATAAAAGATGACTTCAAGTTTCTAATATAACATAAACAATTCTTAAAAATTAAAATTAGTTTTTTTTCTTAATACATCTTCTAAATCTTGTTAAAAGTGAATAAAATTTAACATGAATATCACTAAAATTGATTAAAAGCATTCATAATCAAAATTTAAAACTTCTAAACCAAATATCTAAGAATAGTATAATATCAAGGCTAATTTTATTATATATTTTTAAGACTTTTAGAATTATACTTATTTAAAATTTAGTTAGTAGAATTATAAGATTATTTTAAGAATAAATTAGAAATTTATGGTTCTAAGAGTAAAGGCGTAAACCAGTTTGAAGGAATAAAGTTGCAGGTGATATAAATATGTAGAATTAGGGTTAGAGTGCAAGATTAAAATGGAAAAATAACTTAGGGAATATGGAGATATTCCATTTTTATTTTTTAATTAAGTTAATGGAGTTATTATCTTGTAAAATAAGAAAAAGAAATTTTAAAATACTACAAAAAAATATATTATATTATTTAATTAAGTTATCTTGTAATTGAATTTTATTTTGTAATCGGACAGTTCGGGTGGTTCGAAAGTAAAATCAGAAACCAAACTAATTATATCGATTTTAAAATTTTATAATTCAAATCAACCTAATTTTATATCGGTTTGGATTAATTTTTAATTAAATTGGATCAATTTAGATCGAATCAATCGGATTAAATCGAATATGAACACTTCTAATTCAATGTACAACTAAGCGTAACGCAAATGGTACGTTACACATGTACATGTTTTTCATTCTTTATAAGAGATATATTTTGGACCCACAGTCAGCTTGCT